CAGGCACCAAAAACCCAAATGGGCAGAACAAGGAGTTGCTAGTGCCCAGAACAGGAGTACATGGACTTCCTCAGGTACCTCTTTGTCCTCCAGATGGGATCCAACCAGAAACAGTACCAGATGTCGTATAAGGAGATGCCTTCTTACTGATACTGATGGAGGCCTCCTCAGACAGGCGCCTGCTGGTTTCTTTTTAGCACCAGCAGTTTGCTCCAACAAGCCGACAAATTGAAAGCATGCTTCAGAGCCTTGGGACATCTGTGAGATACACACCACCTCTGGAGGCAGCATCTCATCTAGAGCCCAAAGTAAAGGTCCAGCTTCAGAATTTGAGTTGAAGTCTTAATCTTGTTGAGGTCCCCAATTGCTAATCCACCAAACAAGACTAAAGAGTATTACTCAAATTCTTTGGTCAAGTTAAGCAAGCTTTACTTTCTATTGGACAAGGCTATCTCCCTAAAATAGAGTTTGAGGAAATAGTGTTGAACATAGGAAAAAGTAGGGCTTATTTAATAGGCCCCTCCCCCTAAAAAAGGCTGCAAGACTAGAGGGTTTTCAAGGGTTGGAGGATTTCCAGAGAAATTTTGGTTACATAGGAACTTAGCTGAAAACCTCAAAATTCTTTCGAAGAACATCTTATCAGGGTGGAGGTCAGGGTATAGGGTGTGGAACGTGTCAAATTCCAGAAGGTGGGTCAAGACCTGGTTAAAGCCGAGTTTTACAGACAACAGGAATGAACTTATTTTGACCTTGTAACAAGACGGTTTTTAATGTCAAGCTGGAGTCAGGCTGGTCCATCAGAGTGTCTTAGTTAAGCATATGGAGGCCTTCAGAGGATGTGCACCTTATGTGTGCCCCATCTGACGGCTCCGGGCAGCTTGGTGGGCATCAGTGTCTCTGGCTGAGATGTGTGTACTTGAAAACAAAGAGTGCAGAGAAGGAGAAAGATGGCTCCAATCCAGGAAATGAAAAACCCACGCTCTCTCTCACACGGTATGAAGTGGACTTTTGTTTTTGTTTTTGTTTTCGAGTCAGGGTTTCTCTGTATAGCCCTGGCTGTCCTGGAACTCACTCTGTAGACCAGGCTGGCCTCGAACTTAGAAATCCACCTGCCTCTGCCTCCCAAGTGCTGGGATTAAAGGCGTGCGCCACCACTGCCCAGCCGAAGTGGACTTTTACACTGATTTTTCTTCACACTGAGGTTTGTATATGACATTGTATTTGAGGTGTTTTTTTTTTCATTCTATGTCTATATTTAAATGTTGTTTTCTTTGTCTTATACATATTGACACATTAGAAAACTTGACATCCACACAGACTCTATGGTGATTTTCAGGAAAGACCATTTGGGCCTCCATATTTGGGAGAACTACGTATTTTCCGTTCACGATTATTTAGGACTCTTCAGAGTTCAAAAATGTGAAGTCAGGGCTCAGGATACAGCTTAGTGACTGAACAACTGCCTAATGTGTGCAAGGCCTTGGGTTGCGTACCTCAGACCCACAAGGAAATGGGAGTGGGGGCGGGGAGGAGAGAAGAAGGGAAGAGAGTCAGAGAAAAAGGACGGGAAGGAGGGGGAAGAGAACAGAGAAAGGACAGGACAGGACAGTGTACATCATTTATGTATAACTCTATGGAGCTGGTATCTCTCTCTGTGTATATAAATATATGTTCCTGAGGGTTGAACCCAGCACTTTTAACAAAACAGACAAACAGTACCCTGCCACTGAACCACAGCTCCAGCCCTATAGCTAAAGGCTCCAGGCGCCTGGTGGGCATCTGTGTTTCTGGCTGAGATGTGAGTTTTTCTGAGTGCTATTGCTGGTGAAATTAACAATATGGTGTCCCTCTAGTGTCCTCTGCCTCACGAAGGTTTGTGAGGATTTAGTCTTCCGGATATTGCAATTGAAAACGGTTTGTCTTTGTTAGTTTGTTTGAGAAGAAGTATGACATGACTTTATTATGAGGAGCACATGTTTATGTACGCCACAGTGCACACGCTGAGGTCAGAAGAGGACCCATGGGAGCCTGCCCTCTCCTTCCACGAGGTAGGTTTCTGGGATCAAACTCAGGCTGTCTTGAGTAGCAGGCTGCATCATCCTGCCTGGCCTCAGATTATTAGAGAATGGTTTCAAACCTGGGAGGAGGGACCGAGGCGCATACTTTACATATCAAAGCAGACCTGGTCTCAGGTTCTCCCAGGAGGCTCCCGTCCCTACCTGGCATACCCTCTCACTAACCCTGAACTTTCCAGCCCAGTGACTGGGCTCCCCTCCCCCCTTGCCCCCCCCCGGGGGCTCTTCCCGGTCCACCCCGGGCATTTTGGGCCCTCTAGTTCTCTTCTTCTCTCCCTTTCTCTCTTTCTCCACGCCCCCACCCCCACCACGGTGACTTCACTGGCCTCGGTCCTTCTGGTCAGTGAACTTGCCCGAGAGCAGTTTCTCAACAAACCTGCCTTTAATATATTGTAATCTGGCTTGAATTGGCTCATTTCACCAGCGGAGAAATAACCTGTCAGTGAGGAGAGTTGGGGTAGGATGTGGGGGAATGCCTACGCGCATGCGCAGAGGGGAGAGGCTAGTTCTCTCCATCCACCTTGTTATAGATCTCAGGACTAAACTCAGGTGGTCGGGCCTGACCTCTAAGCCATCTCAACCCTTTTCTATGAATTTGGGAGCCATATCTATTAGCTTGGCTTAGTGGTCTCCCAGCTACGTGCACCGTGGGTCCTGTCTTTGTTTATGCCGATCATCCTGTAGCTGTTCTGGAATCTCCTTCGGTGCCAACGTTTTCAGTTTTAATCCAGTCAAATATGTGACTTTTTAAAAAACCACTTGTGATTTATGCCTTTGATAACTTGTAAGAAATCTGCTACCCTGAAGTCATATAAACTTTTCTTTTAAAAAACTTACCTATCCATCTATCTATCTATCTATCTATCTATCTATCTATCTATCTATCTATCTA